ACACATGAATAATAGAAGATGAGCTCGTGGACGTTGAACTCATATAAAAAACGATGATAAAGTTTATTAACGAGTTACAGCGTACATTGTGATAATAATAATAATGCAATGTTTTTATATACCACTTTATCACAACCTAGTTCGTAGGGGTCGTCTCAAAGCGATTCACAAATTAGTATCCGTGGTTATAGGGCCTTTGCAACCAGACAGTATATTTTCCAACTCCCTTAGGAGCATACAGCCGGAGCTGCCATTTCGGCGCTAACAGCTAGCATTCAACAATTCTAGCACTGCCAAAACACGTACTCATGTACAGCTGAGTAGACTGGATCAAGCGGAGTAAGGTAACTTGCATAACGATGCAACACAGTGTCGTGACGTGACTCGAACCCGGAACCCTTCGGTCGAGCCCGGCGTCCTGTAGAGGTACGATAGGTAATTATTTTGGAACTTTGTAAATAGAAAAAGAACTGACGGTTCTTAGCCCCCAAAACAATTCTGATACATATTCGAGGTAACATGACTGAACAAAATAGGGAAGGTTTTATTTTGCCAAATGGGGGTTTCCAAAATGGCCCCTCCTTTGATTTCAATTTTCTTTAAGTGAAGGGTAGACCTCAAACTTATCACAACAACAACACACATTAACACTTTCGGAGAAGCATAAAACTGAAATTCTCAAAAATCCGGATTTTTTTCCCAAAAGACGAATATTGTCAAACAAATTATGCGCTGAAGGATCATTTATGAGGCATTCAAAACTAGAGATCATATACTACAGTATACATATACAAAATCCCTTGCTTTTGTTAGTTATCAGATATATACAGACAAATCAACAGCCAGAAGCCATCTCAAGCAATGATATTTTCCAGACAAAAAAAATATGTTCATCTTAGAATAAAAGTATCTAATAACTTGTGTATACCAAAAATATTTTGATTAAAGATGGACTAGGTCCTAAACTACCAGTGACAAAAAATATCAATCCAAAATATGTGGTGGAACATATTTAAAGAAGGGATCAAATGCCTATATAGTCTATTCATCCAATGTCATGACTATATGAATAGTCTAATCATTATGATTGAAAACTGACAGAAAAGAAGAAAAAAGTGTTCCAGTTTGGATGGAGTGAGTATTTAATCAACAGGGAAGATGTTTGGAAAATAATCGATGTTTGATTCTTTTTCAAAACGGCTACTAAAACATTCATTTAACTGCCCAATCAGTTGTCAGATTCATAGACAACTATCAATGGAATTCATTACCAATTACCTTTAATCAGGTGCATTGCTTTTTGGTGGACGCCAGGGAGGTGTCTTATGCCCTCACCGATTTGGGTACACAGGGTACTTTGTTATGCGAAAAGAATACTTTCCATCAAGTTTTTTTACTGAATTTTTGCATACATATTTGACATCACACTACTTCTTATTTTTTTATAATTGTTTATATTTCAAAGATTTTACATAAACAATTTTGACATAGATATGGCATATTCAAACACATACAAAACAAACAAAAAACACTTTGTGTTCTTCTAAGCCATCATCATCATCATCATCATCATCATCATCATCATTTTTTTACATTCCTTTATTGCTATTAAAGAAAACATCAGATACTGACAGACACAAAATCTACACAGACATAGACAGGCAGAGAGATAGACAGGCAGAGAGATAGAGAGACAGACACACAGACAGGCAGACACACAGACAGACAGAAAGATAAAGATTTTTAGATTTTCCGATAACAATGTTTAGGCAAGTTCAACTACCTTTATCCATTTTCGCCATTCATTAGTAAACTTATTGAGATATTTTTTCCCCTTTACCATAAGCAATATATTTCTGACCATTGTAATATTCTTTAATCAAATTTACCAGAGCCATAACATTAAGTGAGCTGTGCAAACATCTAGTTTTGTATATATAATGCGTAATAAAAAGAATAATTTCATTGTCAATTCTATTTTAAATTCCTGCTTGCTCGATACTTCCAAAGATAATATTTTATTTATTTATTGATAAGGGAATGGCAAGTGCATTTAAGAGATTTTCAAAATTTGTCATAAAGCTTTGTACTTCAGTTCACTCCCATAGGATATGAATAATTGTCTCCCTTTCCATAAAACATAAAACACACAGAGGGTTATTTATTAGTCTAATCTTAAATAAATATGAATTTGTTGTTAAAATGTAATGATTTATTCTGAATTGTAACCATTGTAACTTTTTGTTATTTGTTACCCTGAATTGAACAGCATATATTTTTTCCATGTTTCCTTATTATAATCAAAAACATTTCCCTATTTATTTTGTCCTGATACTGTGATATTATTTTGAATAAGAACTTTATAGAATTCCTGGGATCCTTTTTTTTCTTAATATAACTTCAAGATTTAATGGTATGATTGGGTAACTCAACATCTTGTTGGGTACATTGTGATTCTTAAGGTATTTCTTGATGCTCATTATCAGTCCTTGATACTGAAAATAATTTGTTATTGAACCATGAATAGTTCAAAATTCATTAAAAAAGAAATAGGAACACATTCTAATATCTTTAACTAAATCATTGATAATCACAATCCCCTTATTGAACCAATTTCTATAGAAAAAGTCATTATTACCAATCGTTATTTTTTTTGTTAGACCATATGGATATCTTAAATATTGAATGGTCCTCCTTTCTATACATTTCTGCTTTAGTGTTTAGTCTATACCATGCCTTAAAAACATCCTTCCAAAAAATATTTTCACCATTCCATAGAAAATTGAAAAGAATTGAGTTAAGCTGCTTTATGAAACTTTGATCTGGATTTGGTAAGGAGATAAAAAGATGATTCATCTGTGAAACTAATAAAGACTTAATTATGTTAATTCTCCCAATAGGAGTAAGCTTTCTTTTACTCCATCCCATGATTAAAGATTTAAGTTTAACTATTTTTTTTATCAAAATTAATTTTAGGAATTCTGTGTAAATCCACATTAAATTCAATACCAAGAAGTGTAAACGTGTCAACCCCCCATTGAAAATTCATATCTGGAAGAAGTACATCACTACTATCCTTTTTGCTACCTGTCTAAACAATTTGGGTTTTACCTTTATTTACTTTTAGACCAGAACTTGTAGCATACAAATTTAGTTCCTCAACAGATCCCTTCAAAGATTTTTCTGTTCCATCTAGTTTAAAGAAGTGTCGTCTGCATATTGAGAATTTAGAATCTAAAACTCATCAATATTGATACCAGGAATATTTCTATTGATTTTATATAAAAGAACGATGATAAGTTACCCCCCTGATTAATTGCAGCACAAGGATTAGAGTATAATATTTTTACCTAATTTCTCAAATCATTCCCAAATTTAAAGTACTTAAGAACTTTATCTATACATTTCCACTACTTCTTCATACTATGAACATTTTTGGTATACAAGAATAATAAGAATGAAAAATCCTATATTTTACACTAAAATTTTCACAAAATGTTCGATTAAACTCACATTTTGGATGATAAATATATTATTCTTTCCTAAGTATTATGATGCAAAAATACGATATTGTTTTCAGAAAAACACTTTTAGACTGATATTCCATTTTTCTACCCCCCCCCCCCCCCCATGCTCTAATTAGGTTAATTAATCGTCTAAATAATTAGTATAGTGATTCAAATTATAACATCAGATGTATAAACGAATGAAAAGAGTTAAAACCGGAGGCATACATCTCGCAGCACTTCTGAAACAAAAGTGATGAGGGGGCAGGCGCCTATGTATTTAACGTGGCTAGGAATAGTCCCTTTCTAATTTTTCCGTAATCAATGTTAACACAGAGTACTTTAGTTTGTCTAGTTTGTCGAAGCGGTTTATGATGAGAGTACACTACGTGTTTTGTGTTATAGCTCCATAACATGTAAAATATATTCAAGTTAATCCTTATAATTTAATCTACTTTACACAATCCCTGTGGAAATTCACGTTTATTTATGGACTCTTTTCTCTTAGAAATTATTGCGCTGATGTATCAGCCAATCAAAAGCGACGTTACAAACGGCGACGTCATTTTTACGTTATGTGCTGATACCATAATTTTTTACGCCAATGGAAATGCTTGTTACAGGCAAGATTAAATTATATATATGATTTTGACTATTTTTTCGACCGCTAATTGTGTGAAATAAAAAAAATCCCGAGACAGAATTTTGCAACTACATTTGTAATCTTTATTTCTTTCACATATTATACGTACATGTAATTTTTTTGGATAACTTTTCTTGGGGGATGGGGGAAAGCGTAAAATTAATATATTACAATTATATCTAATACTAAAATGAATGAATCTATGTCAAAACGGCCGCAGTGTAAAAACGGCCCTAGTTGAAACGGCCCTACTGTTTAAATCGTGATATATAATTTGATTGGATTTTAAATTAAGTTAGCATTCGATTTATTTCCAATAAGATAATTGTTATTTATGTTTAGTGAATATAATTAGAGGGTGTCAGCCAACAATGAACTAGACTGAAGGGGAAGAATTGAATTTGTTTTAAGTTGAACAGAAGACCATCTATAGCCTGAACATTGTACATGTACGACTCAATCTGTCTAATACCATATATATATATATATCTTGAACTATGCTCCCTTCCGTAACCTGCAATCTCTTAGAAAATACGTCTCAAACTCCTACTGGCACAATAAGGGCCTGTTCGTTTATGCGGAGCAACCGGTTTGTCTGTTTTTAAATGTAACAATTTCGGTCTATAACGTTAATGCAGGCCTTGGAAAGCTTTGTCCAGGATCGCCTGAAAGCATTATCAGATTACTAGGTCCGACCTTATTTATTAAACGAACAACAGCTGTGGTCCGACCGGTTCAACCGTTTAAACGAAAACGGCCTAAATGCAGACTTGATTTTTAAAGTTAAACTGCGCAGAAGACCAAGACCATATTCCGGATTTCAACCTTTCCGCATTTTATTCTTAAATTGAGCGCGCCTTAACAAACGCTTATGGGACCAAGACAAACTTTAAAATCTGCAATGGTGAGCCTGTCGAATGAAAACCGACGTTCAGGCGTAAGTTTGCTGTTTTATGATGATTTATTTGTTTCTGAGTATAACGAACATGAATCGAACTAGCCTAGTATTGTTATGTTCTACACATGGGTCACGAAGTGCAGCTTGTAAAGCGTTGATTTGATTTACAAATCGAAAGTTGTACAGTACAGTTCGGTCGACCGGCAAAAAAATCGGGAAGTAGGATGCTGGGTGAATATAGGAATATATGAAAGTGTGGCAATTAAAGTCATCAGTCATGGTGGTATGATAAATGTACGGCACGCCTGCTCAATGAAAAATCACAAAAGTTGGATGTATTCCGTGGCAATGTTAACAGGTTAAGGTTATCACAAGATATTTTCAGTTGATGCAATCAGTTGACAATGGTAGTGTATAACAGGAGAGGAAATATTCGCAGACAGGCCAGGGTTCGAACCCGGGACACTACGAACTCTAGACAGACGCCGACGATCGACCCAGTCCAGTTCTGCTACATTAGCAAATTAACTCTTTAAAATTGTATTTCCGTATCTTATGTAAGATATCTGATATTAAATAAAAACAAACAGTTTCAACGATTACGTTAATCTGCATGTACTAGGAAAGAACGATGTGTTGTCCAAACCAAGATCAATTGAGGGACACTCTTAACCAACTGAGCTAACTTCACCAGCCGTGAGTGACATTCTTAACCAACTGAGCTAACTTCACCAGCCGTGAGTGACATTCTTAACCAACTGAGCTACTTCACCAGCCGTGAGGGACACTCTTAACCAACTGAGCTAACTTCACCAGCCGTGAGTGACACTCTTAACCAACTGAGCTAACTTCACCAGCCGTGAGTGACATTCTTAACCAACTGAGCTAACTTCACCAGCCATGAGGGACACTCTTAACCAACTGAGCTAACTTCACCAGCCGTGAGTGACATTCTTAACCAACTGAGCTACTTCACCAGCCGTGAGGGACACTCTTAACCAACTGAGCTAACTTCACCAGCCATGAGGGACACTCTTAACCAACTGAGCTAACTTCACCAGCCGTGAGTGACATTCTTAACCAACTGAGCTACTTCACCAGCCGTGAGGGACACTCTTAACCAACTGAGCTAACTTCACCAGCCATGAGGGACACTCTTAACCAACTGAGCTAACTTCACCAGCCGTGAGTGACATTCTTAACCAACTGAGCTACTTCACCAGCCGTGAGGGACACTCTTAACCAACTGAGCTAACTTCACCAGCCGTGAGTGACACTCTTAACCAACTGAGCTACTTCACCAGCCGCAGATCTAGCTCTTCCTCATACCTTTGATTGTTTGTTTATTTTAGTGGTTTTACTTTTGCTTCACTACCGTGTAGTTCGGTTAAATATGAATCCAGCAGACGATTGTTCATCAAAGTTTTCAACCCTGGCCAGAAGAAAGCGGAACTTGACTGGGTCAGTCGTTAGTGCCCAGGCAGCTCAATTGGTAGAACATCCGTATAGAGTTTGGAGGGTCCCAGGATTGAACTCCTGTCTGGCCATGCATTTTTTTTCTCCTGTTACAGTGGTGCCTGTGACCAAAAGCTGATCCCTTCTTTCAAGCATTTGGTGTAAGCATGGCAAGAGGAAACCTGAATCTGGGTTGTAAATAGTTGTATCTTCAGGGGTGAAGGCTTAGAAAAAAGGAAGTAGGAATGTAGTGGAACTGGAATGGGTCAATCGTCTGCAAGCTGGCCATGCATGGTAGCTCAATTGGTAGAGTGTGTGTCTAGAATTCAGAGGGTCCCAGATTCAAACTCCGAATTTACAGAAACGCGAGACCCTAAACCACGTTCCATGGCTATGCATGTACTTACAACACCAAAAAAAGTTGTTGAACCCAAACCAGTACACCAGCAATTTCTATTTGTTAGAGCAGTCATGTTGTTTGAGATCTGGCCATTAAAGTTTCCAATCCTTTCACAAATACATATTCCTGTGGATGGTAGCCTATGGGTTTGTCGGGTTTGGGGTCCAAAACGTTAACTTTCTTAGAGACGGAGGAGTGTAGGAGAATTAGATTGGATTGAAATTATAGATCACCACTGACTAGGTATAGGTAGTTTAGTTGGTTCATCGAAGGGGCCGGGGTGACCAAGTGGTTAAGGCGTCTGTCATTCTGCTCCAGCTAGTCCACCAATGGGTCGGAGGTTTGAGAACTACGTGGGGCAGTCGCCAGGTACTGGCCGTTGGTCAGTGGTTTTTCTCTAGAACTCTGGCTTTCCTCCATCATCAAAACCTGGCACGTCCTTAAATTACCATAGATATTAATAGGACGTAAAACACAAACAAACCGTTCATTAAAATATATACAAAGTATTTATATAATTTTAAATTTAAATACAGTAAAACCTTGTTATACTGTGCCGTATAAAGGGATTTGAGGATAAATTGAGGAAAAATCATACAGGAATTCTTAAGAAAACAAGAAAAGGGGATATTGAAATATGTTGGTGGTAATGAAACTGGCAAATGAAATGAGGGGCATTATATTGAGGTTTTTATGTAAATTGTTTATATTTTTTGCTTTGTTTAAATTTCAAAGTCATTGAAACCCTCAATGATAAAGACCCATTGTTTACAATGATTTGCATCTTTTCATAGGAGATTTTTAGGTCACCTGAGACAAAGTCTCAATTAAGTGACCTGTTGCGATCGCCTTTTGTCCGTCGTCGTACGTCGTGCGTCCGTAAACAATTTACATTTTCGACTTCTTCTCCAAAACCCCTGAACCAATTTCAATGAAATTTTGCAGAAACCTTCCATGGCCAAAGGTCAACAAAAATAGTTGCCGGTTTGGTCCCTGGGGCCTGAGGGGCGGGGCCAAAAAGGGTCAAATTGACTAAAATTTCAAAAATCTTTTTCTCAAGACCCTGATATGGTAGAATCAAATACTCTTCATAGATGGAAGGGTCTTAAGGTGCTTTACCAAAATTGTGAATTTCTTGAACCTGGGGTCCCACGTTTCCCCCTGGTGAGGGGGTAAACTTTACTATAGTTTGAATAGGAAAATCACATTTTGGACCAACATTTGTTTAATTTTCATTGGAAGTAATTCAATTTGGGTTAGCATTATCAGCATACGGTAGAAGTTTGATGGTATGCATATATGAGCCCTGACTGACCCCCCGGGGCTATTGGGTGGGGCCAAAAAGGGTCGAATTGACTGAAATTTCAAAAATCTTCTTCTCAAGACCCAGATATGGTAGAATCAAACACTCATCATAGATGGAAGGGTCTTAAGGTGCTCTACCAAAATTGTGAATTTTATGACCCTTGTGTCTCGCGTTTACCCCTGGGGAGGGGGTAAACTTTACTATAGTTTGAATAGGAAAATCACATTTTGGACCAACATTTGTTTAATTTTCATTGGAAGTAATTCAATTTGGGTTAGCATTATCAGTATTGGATAGCAGTTTGATGGTATGCACATATGAGCCCTGACTGACCCCCGGGGTTGATGGGTAGGGCCAAAAAGGGTTGAATTGACTGAAATTTCAAAAAAAAAATCTTCTCAAAGACCCAGATATGGTAGAATCAAACACTCTTCATAGATGGAAGGGTCTTAAGGTTTATGACCCTAGGGTCTCACGTTTAACCCCTGGGGAAGGAGGGGGGGGGTAAAATTTATTATGATTTATAATGGCAAATGCTACTTTGAATATTACATGTTAATAACTTGATTTGAATTATAACCCTGATTTGACAGTTTGATACTTTGAACATTTTGAGCCAGCCCTACCCCCAAGGGCTGTAGGGTGGGGCCCAAATGAGTCAGTGTGCTTAAATTTCTTCATTTTTTCTTGTTTAGAATCAGAGGTGCTAGTTTCAAATACTTTTTAGTCTTAAATCTGTATGCTAGATATTGAATAAGGTGGTTTTATTGTTTTTTGGCACTGAATAGTATTTCTGTTCATGTTAAAAACAAAATCAACTCTATGTATAAATATATCAGGTGACCGTTAAGGCCCAATGGGCCTCTTGTTTATAAACATTTGTATTAATAATATTTTCTAGGGTTACTTTTTTAACGATGAAAACACTATTCAAGGACGGGACGGTGATGAACCGCTCCTCGATAGTCCCACTTATACTACGGAGCTGGACCGTCCATTCCGAGTCATCAACACCACGGCGGCCATCGTCCTGCAGATTCTCTTGTTGGTAAATAATGGTTAAGTCATGTGATTACACATTAATCACTCAAGGCTTTCCCTCAAGAGTATATTTATGACTCGCCAAAATGAAGGACAAGACCTTGTATTTTAGGAATTTGTTATGTTTTTCAATTAGGGTTGTCAATCCGGACGAAATTTAGTTACCAGTTACTCGAAAAATCTTCTGACCGAGTAACTGGTAATCAAACAACACACAACAACATATTTACAGTTTGTTTAGCTATTGTTCTAGTCAAAATTAATATTTATTAATTAGCCGATAATTTCCTCAGGTATTTTAAGCTCTCAACACCTAATTATATAAATGCAGGAAATACCTACATGTAATATAACCGCAGTCAGTTTTGGAACCATTTACTTCAGGAAACAGTGTTATACAATACAAGTTATTTCTATACTATCTCATGTCCAGTAATATTGTCCTTGAGAAACATATAAATTTGATAAATACTATAATTCATTGATGAGTGCACCTCTTTCAATGTTTCGCTGAAATCAGGTAAGTGTGTACTCCTAAAAGCGAGTTTTTCCTCTCAAGTTGACAATTCACAATTTTTATTCTGGCTTACTTTTCAAATCTGTTCAGGCATTTTTATGGGATGGTCGGCATCTGTTTGTAAATACTTTACAGAAGAGTACAAAAACAACACTAAACAGACAGTCTGAACATTGTTTTCATTACTAAAATTTCCTATTAAGGTCTCATGGATAGATCATTTGTAGGTGTAAGCCCGGTAAATATGGGGCTCAACATGGGTTGAATGAATGATTTCCGTAACAGATTCGTGGTCTTCCGATTGAGTAACCGGTTAACCGTTGACAACCCTATTTTCGATGCATTTTAATCTTTTTCAAGTAAACATTAAAAAGTTTTGTCATAAAACAGTTTAATGATATCATGTTTATCTAATCTGTTTCAAAACTGTGATTTTAATAAGGTGGGGATCCTTGTGTAAGATGTTCAAAATCAAAAACAGTAAATAAAAACAACTAAAGATGTATCTCTTAAAGAGTTTGTAGAATTTAAAACCTTTTTATTTTGGTTTTAATTACACCATCAGATTTTATCGAGAATATTCAAATATCAGGGATCAAGCTAGGTTTTAAGGGGGATCTACCCCTTTTCAGATTTGGGGGAAATTAACATTTTGATACAAGGGGCTTCTAGCGTCATGAAGGTAAAAGATAAATGTTTTGTCTGACATACATGTGTGCAGTATATTTCAATTTATAAACTATTCTAATCTTAAAATTGTAGAGTTTTTATTTAAATTATGTGAAGAAAATGTACATATGTAATATTATGCATTTTAACTGTTGAACATAAAAGAAAACATATAAGGGGGAAATTTTGAAGAACAACCGCTATTTTCTCGTGGAAATGGTGGAATTGTGAAGCACATAGCTAGGGAAGGGGGTATTTCATTGAACAGGAGAATTTTCTTCTGTAGGAGAAACTACCCATAAGCGGTAGTGATGGAATCAAGTCTAAATTGATCCCAGACTATATACAGACGTTTGTAACTACTGTGGTGGTCCTTACCTGAGCTTAAACAAACAAAACAAACAAAACTATCCGAGGATATATATCTAATCAGTAATGTCAGAAGTACTTGTATGTGTGTTATGATCACTTACACTATCTGCACCCCTGGAATATATTCCGTCTTTGCGTATTGCAGAGTTATCTTCTCTTGAGAGCAGGTATTGATTGTTACGTCATTGGTTTGTGTGAGCAAATTATGTCGTTTTTCTCAAAAATTTATGACGTTACTCTCACAAACAAATGACGTAACAATCAATCCCTGCTCTCAAGAGAAGATAACTCTGCAATACGCAAAGACGGAATATGTCATGACAAAATTGAAGGCCCGGTGTGTACCTGCATATGGATGAGACAAGAAGACTAGTTTGATCCTTTGATGTACATAAAAAACACTTCCATGGTATATATATAGCGTAACAGAAAAATTAACTGGCTTTGAAGTTGGTTGTCCCTCCTCTGTGATCTTCAAAGACAGGTTCCAACCTGGCTATTGGTCAGTTTTTTTTTACCTGAGACTAATCAAATAGGTAGCCATGCACATGCCTTAAATTTTGCTATGACATATTCCAGGGGTGCCGAGGGGGTAAGTGAGAATAACCCCCGGAGTATCCAGGATGGGAAGATGCCAGAGTGAAGAAATTTAATGTGATGTCATAATCAACCCTTTCACCACTTATAGACCATAATGGACTCACCCAGATAATGTATGGTAGTGTCTACTAAAGTTACCTAGGGGTGAGAGGGTTAAAAGATTGAACCATGAAATCATGTCCAGGGTGTTGCCCTCAGGTGGGAACCAAAACATTAAACCTTTCACCACTGCAGACCATAATGGACTCTTCCAGATCAATGCATGGCAGAGTCTACTTAAGTGTCATAGGGGTGAAAGGGTTAACCAACTCCTCCCCAAATAAAAGTATACATCATTCAGAAAGTACTGTTATTCCCCAAAATCACCATATATACAGTGTGATTTTGTAATGTATTTTTTTTTGTAGATTGTAGCAGCTGCAGTAGTGCTAGGGTTAGATTCCATTAGTCACAGCACCTCCGAGGCAATTATATACTACATCCAGGGGGCGCTGTGGTTCCTTCATCTCATCTTCGACATATTTTACCGACATTGCCACAAGAAGAGTCGCCTCCATGGATACCTGGAGTTCTACAGACAGACGCGACTTGTACGTCAGCTGCCACTGGCCATCAGCTCTGCAGGTATTGGTGGAGGATGTTCATCGACATAGACAAAAAAAGTTCTTACAAAAAATCCATTTATTATTTAAAGTTTAATGTTAAGAAGCTTAATCTATTTAATAAAAAGATGTATTCATTATCATTACAGTATTACGTTTCCTTTGACATTGCTTTAACTAATCAAAGTCCTCGGATGAAATTAGTTCCACAGCTTGTATGTTTACATTTGTGGGGAGGTTTTTGGAAGAGCATTGCATGTGCATGGTCTAGTGGAAAATAATACGTGCACATGTGAAACGCTATTGTCCGGTAATATATATGTCTGTTTACCAATGAAAAATGTCGTTACATCGAAGACAAGGAAGAATGTCATGAGCATGCATGGCAATAAAAACATGTCCTCTGTTTGTTTCATTTATCATGTTCTTTATTTAAAAAAAATAGTTTTTAGGTTGTTTCTCATCAGCCATTAATTTTAGCATCATGTGTATTATTAATTTTTTTTCGCAGTCAATGCTGGATTAATTATTCTGAACAGTTTGGCGAGACAGCAAGGATGGACACCCGATATTGGAAAACACAACAAGGTCTGGCACCTCGGACTCCGTCTCATCGTCGTCCTACACATCGTCATCAAACTCATCGTCCTAATCCTCTATCTAGGGCAGTATTGTGTTACTAGGTAAATATCCCGCCGTGTCCTAAACATCGTCATCAAACTCATCGTCCTAATCCTCTATCTAGGTCAGTATTGTGTTACTAGGTAAATGTCTCATCGTCGTCATCAAGCTCATCGTCCTAATCTTCTATCTAGGCCAGTATTGTGTTATTAGATAAATGTATCATCGTCGTCCTACACATCGTCATCAAACTCATCGTCCTAATCCTCTATCTAGGTCAGTTTCGTGTTACTAGGTAAATGTCTCATCATCGTCATACACATCTTCATCAAACTCATCGTTCTGATCCTCTATCTAGGTCAGTTTCGTGTTACTAGGTTAATGTCTCATTGTCGTCCTAAACATATTGTCATCAAATTTAACTCATCGTCCTAATCCTATATCTAGATTCTAGATCAGTATCGTGTTACTAGATAAATGTATCATCGTTGTCCTATATATCGTCATCAAACTCATCGTTCTGATCCTCTATCTAGGCCTGTATCGTGTTACTAGGTAAATATCCCACCGTGTCCTAAACATCGTCATCATACTCATCGTCCTAATCTTCTATCTAGGCCAGTATTGTGTTACTAGGTAAATATCCCACCGTGTCCTAAACATCGTCATCAAACTCATCGTCCTAGTCCTCTATCTAGGTCAGTATTGTGTTACTAGGTAAATGTCTCATCGGCGTCCTACCTATCTTCATCAAACTCATCGTCCTAATCTTCTATCTAGGCCAGTATTGTGTTACTAGGCAAATCTCCCACCGTGTCCTAAACATCGTCATCATACTCATCGTCCTAATCCTCTATCTAGGTCAGAATTGTGTTACTAGGTAAACGTCTCATCGTCGTCCTAAACATCATCATCAAACTCATCGTTCTAATCCTCGATCTAGGTCAGTATCGTGTTACTAGATAAATGTATCATCGTTTTCCTATATATCGTCATCAAACTCATCGTTCTAATCCTCGATCTAGGTCAGTATCGTGTTACTAGATAAATGTATCATCGTTGTCCTATATATCGTCATCAAACTCATCGTTCTGATCCTCTATCTAGGCCTGTATCGTGTTACTAGGAAAATATCCCACCGAGTCCTAAACATCGTCATCATACTCATCGTCATAATCTTCTATCTAGGCCAGTATTGTGTTATTAGATAAATGTATCATCGTCGTCCTACACATCATCATCAAACTCACCGTTCTAATCCTCTATCTAGGTCAGTATCGTGTTACTAGGTAAATGTCTCATCGGCGTCCTACATATCTTCATCAAACTCATCGTCCTAATCTTCTATCTAGGTCAGTATCGTGTTACTAGGTAAATGTATCATCGTCGTCCTACACATCATGTTACTAGGTAAATGTCTCATCGATGTCCTACATATCGTCATCAAACTCATCGTCGTCCTACATATCGTCATCAAACTCATCGTTCTAATCCTCTATCTAGGTCAGTATCGTGTTACTAGGTAAATGTCTCATCGATGTCCTACATATCATCATCAAACTCATCGTCGGCCTACATATCGTCATCAAACTCATCCCCCTAATCTTCTATCTAGGTCAGTATCGTGTTACTGTTACTAGGTAAATGTCTCATCGATGTCCTACATATCATCATCAAACTCATCGTCGTCCTACATATCGTCATCAAACTCATCCCCCTAATCTTCTATCTAGGTCAGTATCGTGTTACTAGGTAAATGTCTGATCGTTGTCCTACACATCATTATCAAACTCATCGTCCTAATCTTCTATCTAGGTCAGTATCGTGTTACTAGATAAATGTCTCATCGTCGTCCTACACATCATCATCAAACTCATCGTCCTAATCCTCTGTCTAGGTCAGTATCGTGTTACTAGGTAAATGTCTCATCGTCATTCTACATATCGTCATCAAACTCATTGTCCTAATCTTCTATCTAGGACAGTATCGTGTTACTAGGTAAATGTATCATCGTCGTCCTACACATCATCATCAAATCTTAATCCTCTATCTAGGTCAGTATCGTGTTACTAGGTAAATGTCACATCGGCGTCCTACATATCATCATCAAACTCATCGTCTTAATCCTCTATCTAGGTCAGTATCGTGTTACTAGGTAAATGTCTCATCGATTTCCTACATATCATCATCAAACTCATCGTCTTAATCCTCTATCTAGGACAGTATCGTGTTACTAGGTAAATGTCTCATCGATGTCCTACATATCGTCATCAAACTCATCGTCTTAATCCTCTATCTAGGACAGTATCGTGTTACTAGGTAAATGTCTCATCGATGTCCTACATATCGTCATCAGACTCATCGTCCTAATCTTCTATCTAGGTCAGTATCGTGTTACTAGATAAATGTCTCATCGTCGTCCTACAAAATGTCGTCAAACTCATCGTCCTAATCCTCTATCTAGGTCAGTATTGTGTTACTAGGTAAATGTCTCATCGGCGTCCTACATATCGTCATCAAACTCATCGTCCTAATCCTCTATCTAGGCCAGTATCGTGTTACTAGGTAAATGTCTCATCGATGTCCTACATATCGTCATCAAACTCATCGTCCTAATCTTCTATCTAGGTCAGTATCGTGTTACTAGATAAATGTCTCATCGTCGTCGTACATAATGTCGTCAAACTCATCGTCCTAATCCTCTATCTAGGCCAGTATCGTGTTACTAGGTAAATGTCTCATCGTCGTCCTAAACATCATCATCAAACTCATCGTCCTAATCCTCTATCTAGGCCAGTATCGTGTTACTAGGTAAATGTCTCATCGTCGTCCTACATATCATCATCAAACTCATCGTCTTAATCCTCTATCTAGGACAGTATCGTGTTACTAGGTAAATGTCTCATCGTCATCCTACATATCATCATCAAACTCATCGTCCTAATCCTCTATCTAGGCCAGTATCGTGTTACTAGGTAAATGTCTCATCGATGTCCTACACATCATCATCAAACTCATCGTCCTCCTACATATTGTCATCAAACTCATTGTCCTAATCTTCTATCTAGGTCAGTATCGTGTTACCAGATAAATGTCTCATCGTCGTCCTACATAATGTCGTCAAACTCATCGTCCTCCTACATATCGTCATCAAACTCATTGTCCTAATCTTCTATCTAGGTCAGTATCGTGTTACTAGATAAATGTCTCATCGTCGTCCTACATAATGTCGTCAAACTCATCGTCCTAATCCTCTATCTAGGTCAGTATCGTGTTACTAGGTAAATGTATCATCGTCGTCCTACATATCGTCATCAAACTCTTCGTCCTAATCTTCTATCTAGGTCAGTATCGTGTTACTAGGTAAATGTCTCATCGTCGTCCTACATATCGTCCTCAAACTCATCGTCGTCCTACATATCGTCATCAAACACATCGTCCTAATCCTCTATCTAGGTCAGTATCGCGTTACTAGGTAAATGTCTCATCGTCGTCCTACATATCGTCATCAAACTCATCGTCCTAATCCGCTATCTAGGTCAGTATCGTGTTACTAGGTAAATGTCCTACATATCATCATCAAACTCATCGTCGTCCTACATATCGTCATCAAACTCATCGTCGTCCTACATATCGTCATCAAACTCATTGTCCTAATCTTCTATCTAGGTCAGTATCGTGTTACCAGATAAATGTCTCATCGTCGTCCTACATAATGTCGTCAAACTCATCGTCCTAATCCTCTATCTAGGTCAGTATCGCGTTACTAGGTAAATGTCTCATCGTCGTCCTACATATCGTCGTCAAACTCATCGTCCTAATCCTCTATCTAGGTCAGTATCGCGTTACTAGGTAAATGTCTCATCGTCGTCCTACATAGCGTCATCAAACTCATCGTCCTAATCCTCTATCTAGGTCAGTATCTTGTTACTAGGTAAATGTATCATCGTCGTCCTACACATCGTCATCAAACTCATCGTCCTAATCCTCTATCTAGGTCAGTATTGTGTTACTAGGTAAATGTCTCATCGGCGTCCTACATATCGTCATCAAACTCATCGTCCTAATCCTCTATCTAGGTCAGTATTGTGTTACTAGGTAAATGTCTCATCGGCGTCCTACATATCGTCATCAAACTCATCGTCCTAATCTTCTATCTAGGGCAGTATCGTGTTACTAGGTAAATGTCTCATCGTCGTCCTACATATCGTCCTCAAACTCATCGTCGTCCTACATATCGTCATCAAACACATCGTCCTAATCCTCTATCTAGGTCAGTATCGTGTTACTAGGTAAATGTCTCATTGTCGTCCTACACATCATCAAACTCATCGTCCTAATCCTCTATCTAGGTCAGTATCGTGTTACTAGGTAAATGTCTCATCGTCGTCCTACATATCGTCGTCAAACTCATCGTCCTAATCCTCTATCTAGGTCAGTATTGTGTTACTAGGTAAATGTCTCATCGGCGTCCTACATATCGTCACCGAACTCATCGACCTAATTTTCTATCTAGGTCAGTATCGTGTTACTAGGTAAATGTGTCTTCTCGGTACTGTATAGCTATTATATATCACGGGGGTTTCTTTTTGTTATATTTGGGTTTAAACTAAAATCCGTAAACACCAGCAAAATATTTAGCACATAATACCGTGTTATGGAAAGGTAACACTGTCATAGAACCAAATCATTTTGTGGTTAAATTATAACTCAACACTCTTACATAAATTTAAAATGCATTTTAATTCGCTCAAAATAGAAGAGGTGTAACCAAACATATTCTAATATAAAGATATGGGCGGATTGGTCGAGTGGTTAACACTTCGGCCTTCCACGCAGACGGCCGGGGTTTGATCCTTGAAGTCGTCGCACGCATGGAATATCAGAGAAAGTGTTTTTCTCCTGCCCACACAACTCCAACAACCCAGGTGGAGTATAAAGTGGTCTGGGGTGGATGTTGCGGTATCTGTGCTGTAGCATTCAAGTGAGGTGGCACTGTAAAAGATGCTGTTGGAAGCGAAGTCCCACTACAAACAGAACACAATACATCTCCAGCACACACGCAGGCATACACGCATAGGGAGATATCAGCCAGGTGGCATAGCACTAGTAGTTAGCGCCTGAAAAGGCAGCTCTTGGGAATTCCTCATAATTGAATTAATTAATGTATATGCTAATTGTATTACTTGTATATCTATGTACTGTAAAGCGCTTTAGAGTGTCTTATGTTTAAGCTAGATAGGGCACTATATCAAATGTTGTATATTATTATTATATGTTACTGTTAGCAATGACGAGAAACAACACAACAGTATGTTACACATCGTACAGAGCCAACCAATTGTTTTATTACAGCTTATTTCTTTTGCATACATGTTCTTTAGTATACTAGTACATATACTATTAATTGCAGGCTTTAATTAACCCTTTCACCACTGTAGACCATAATGGACTCATCCAGATCAATGCAAGGTAGAGTCTACATAAGTTACATAGGGGTGAAAGGGTTAAGTCTATCATATCTGCCCAAAGACACATTTGACTACACTACAGTAGCAGTTCCACAACAGTGAATTTCTTTCGAGTGAAGTAACTGGTGTATGACGACACTCACGCACAGTGAACGTAACATAACATAACGAAAAATGTCCATCTACATTGAAAAGTGGTGTATGTGTTTCAAAAAGGATTTACTGTCCAACGATTATATAAAACTCAGTGTAAATACAATGCAACGCAAACTTGAATAATGTTAGTTTTAAAATTTATTGATAATTAAGTGATCCGCAAAATATTGGAATTGGGTGCATGTACAGCAAAATTTAACCCCTGCAATTTGTCACGTAAACAAACACATGAAATATAGACCCTGCACATTAAAGCAATGTACAGTATATAAGATCACCGTAAACCTCCTTTATCTGTGTTGGAGTAACCATCCTATATCTTTGTCAGAAAGTTTGAAAAAAAAACTTCTGACAAAGAGTGAATCGATAGCTGAACAAAACTATGCCTACAGATCTAGACAGGCTGACAGATATCCCTGTTTTCAAATTTTGTGTGTAGCACCATTGCCCAATGAAGTTGTGCCCCATTCATTTTTTTTTTATTTAGTCACATTTTAAGAGAGTTATTCCCCTTTTGTTGGAAATATTTTGTGGCTATCCATGTGCATGCATTCATTTTCAGCAGACGTTTCTGTTATGTAGTTGTGACACCCTAAAAACAAATTTGAATGTCGACACCTTTTAAGAGAGTTAAGCCCCTTTTTGAGTGGAAATCTTGTCAAATTTCCAGCCATATGCGTTCGGTTGCAAACTCTCTTTGTAGTGTCTTTGTTTCCCGGCTACACCAATGAATCAACTCATGTTTCAGCAGATTTTTTTTTCAATTTATATGTGTCACTTATCACCTAGTGTAACTTTGCCTTCTAATTATAAATTAATGGTGAGGGTTAATTGTGTGAACATTTTTCTTTTCTCAATTTTTATTTTATTACTATTACCAACGTTTGAAGAAGCGTAAGAATAATTCATAAATTGTTTATTACATTGATTGTGATCTTTTGACAGTGAAGACGGTGAAGTTCAACAAAAGCCATGTGTCACCTGATGTCGCCCAAGAAGACATGATGGGAAGCTTTGTACAGTCGACTCATTCCTCCGAAATAGGATTCAGGTAACACCATAACCCTGATCTCTGAGCTATAATGGGGGGATCAATCTGCTGTATTTTGTCATTTCTGTCGGTATATATCATGAAAAAGCTCCTGCAAATGGAGTTTTACTGGCAACGTGGAGCGAATCTCAAAATGTAGAAAGGATTATCAGTATTCTGATTAATTCAAGCTAAAACCACAATAAGAAGAAGGATTTTATGATATTTTTGATATTTAGGTCACCTGGTCCAAGGGGTCAAGGTAGGTGATCTTATGCCATTTGCATACCGTGGTGTCTGTCGTTCGTCCGTCAACTATTTCTTCAAAAGACTTCTTCATAACCGCTGATTGTGGCGGGGTTTCAAATTTATGCAAATGGAGGGGCTGACCCTGGGGGGGGCGGGGGGGGGGCAAAAAGGGATAATTTGGCCATATTGCTCTGAAGGTCAAGGGTCATGCTATTGTTTCTGATGTCATTAAAATTCAATTTCATAACAGGTTTGGGGGTTGGGGTCAGACAGGGTCATTGACATCATTGACAAAAGCCATCCTAAATTCACATTACAGTGAGAAATAATTTATAGATAGTATATCATAAAGTCACTCTGTCACAAATTATTCTTGTTCTTTTTCCCTTTGCAATAGTTAGAGACAACTTCTGGGCGTTATCTCTGCAAAAGTTGTATATCGACCCCATACAAACATACTACAGTAAATTTGTATGTGGACAGCTAATACTTTTACGAAGGTTTGGGTGGAAATAGACAGTCTTTACTATACAATTGTTGACTTTTTGTGAGGTCTATTAATGATTTAGGCACCTGGTCTAAACAATATTCATCCAGGCCGAAGGCTGAGGTGAATATTACTCGTACCAAGTCCCAAAATTAAGGATTCATCAAGAGTGAAGTCCGCAAAGGTTTCAATTTGCGGCAGGCAAATTCTATTTTTAGAATGACGTCTGTAATTGACTAATATACTTTGAAACTGGCAATATCGAAACCTATTTTAAGTCTGTTACACTATTAATTAGAAAAGGTCACCTAAGATGAAGTCTCATTTGATCACCTTTTGTCCGTTAATGTTTTCAAATTAAGATCCTAACTCACACCCAGGGCTTGAGGGGCGGGTCGTAAATTAAGATCCTAACTCACCCCAGGGCCTGAGGGGCGAGTCACAAATTAAGATCCTAACTCACCCCCAGGGCTTGAGGGGCGGGTTCCAAATCAAGATCCTAACTCACACCCAGGGCTTGAGTGGCTGGTCACAAATTAAGATCCTAACTCAACCCCAGGGCTTGAGGGGCTGGTCACAAATTAAGATCCTAACTCACCCCCAGGGCCTGAGGGGCGGGTCACAAATTATGATCCTTACTCACCCCCAGGGCCTGAGGGGTGGATAATAAATTAAGGTCCTAATTACCCCTAGGGCCTGAGGGGCGGGTCACAAATTAAGATCCTCAATCACCCCCAAGGCCTGAGGGGCAGATAATAAATTAAGATCCTACTCACCCCCAGGCCTTTAGGGGCGAATAACAAAATAAGATCCTAACTCACCCCCAGGACCTGAGGGGCGGGGTCAAAAAGTGTCAAATTGGCAACAAATTTCAACTGTCTTCTTCCTCAGGCCGGGATATGCTGGAATAAAATCCTCTTCATGGATTAAAAGGTCCTAATGTACTTAATCAAAATTTGAATTTCACAACCCCCGGAGCATCCATTCCTCCTTAGGTAGGGGGTCATATTACTGAATTACATTATCATATTATTTCAATGTTTTCCTGACCATATCACAACAAATATAAATTTTATTACCACTTAGGTGACCGATAAGGCCCATGGGCCTCAAGTTCTTTTAATTACAGTAAAAAATTAAAAAAAATTGGAGGTTCTTATACCCCTTTATCACAACCTAATTCGTAGGTCATCTCAAAGCGGTTCACAAATTATTATTCGTGGTTATAGGGCCTTTGCAAACGGCCAACATATTTCTCAACTCCCTGGGGAGCATACAGCCAGTGTTGCCATTTCGGCGCTCACAGCTAGCATTCAACAATTCTAGCACTACCCAACCACATACTGATTTACAGCTGAGTAGACTGGAACAAGCGGAGTAAAGTATCTTGCTCGAAGATACAACACAGTGCTGTGCCGTGACTGGAACCCGCAGCCCTTCGGTTCTAAGAATGGTGTCCATAATAGATTTATAGTAGTCACCACATGTTGCTTCTCCAATCAATGTTGGGAAACAGCACCAGGCATATAATAATTATCAGTTATGGACTTCTGTTGAGGTGAATAGGTGGTTATATGAACCTGAAAAGGATATATTGACCGAGACAAAATAGAGGTCAGTGTCACTATTTTAGGTCCATATAACCACATATTCAAGGAAATAAAATGTCCATGATTGTAAAAATTAAATATGAAATGATGCTTTTTATGCCTCGGCCTTAAAATGGGGGTGCATATATTGTTGCCCATGTCCGTCCTGTCCCGTACCGTCCCATCCATGAGCAGAAGACATTTATGTCTTACAGACATTTTCTAGTTTATTATTACCTAGTAATCAAGATGCATGGAATATAATTGAGCTGAGAAATTTACTGACGGAGAGCATTGTGACTATTCCAATGACATCATCAAGCAAATATTGACCTAAAAATAGTAAATCTGAGTCAATATCACAGAGTGCTGACCTCGACATGAATATGATCCTACGGGTTATGAGGATGTAGAAGTAAGTTGTGTCATCAATATTATATAGGAATTTTGAGACCCTACCACGAGTTCCGTCACAAGTCCCCCCCCCCCCCACACTATTAGGAGTCAAACCAGTGCCAACAAACATACTATTGTTATTATTATATATATACATATAATATTTGGCTGGTGGAAATAAAATACTTGAAAAAAACAAAAAAAACAACCACATAATATTGCTCAAATGTCAGTGTTTTTGTTACCTAAATTTTACAAAAACCTATTCCTTTATGAATAGGGAAAATAAAGCATTAATTGTATTGAAATTGGGAGTATACTCCTCGGTTTTTGGTCATTTTGGGAAAATAAAGCACTTTTTAGCTAGGGGAAACAGCATGTATTCGGCAGTTTATGATGTCAAGCAGTCTAGACCTCAAGCCCAACAGGTCTGGGATTTTTTTCTCTTCATAATCTACAAAACCATACTTTGTTTATTTTTATTATTTCAGAGACGAGCATTACACGGAACAAGTGTTAGAGAAACAGGCTGACATGATACGCTACCTGAAGCAGCACAACGCCCAGCTTGGCAAACGTATCCTCGCCCTCACTGCCGAAAACCAGACCCTAAAGGGAGGTAATAGCTGAGGGGTCAAAGGTTACAATGATGACGAGAAAACCATAGATGTGTTCTCACTTTCAATTATGAAGACAAACAGTATGATTTCTTGGTGATGAACCCTTTTACCACTGTAGACCATAATGGACTCATCCAGATCAATGCATGGTAGAGTCTACTAAAGTTACATAGGGATGAAACGGTTGAAAGTGTTAAATCTTCATCCGACATGACTATCGCTTCATGTAAGATTGTTGTACACTAACTAGACAGGCATGGAAGAAGAAAAACACTCTTTGTGCGTTTGTGGTAACGAGAACAGAAACATTTTATCGGAGTTGGATATCAATGGAGTTAGGTTGGACGTACTCAATTCTTATCATAGGAGAACAACAAAAACCTCCCCATATGTCAAAGGGAGACAACCTATATCTACCATCTAATGAAATTTTTCATGATTTGAGGACAAATGCAGTGTAAATTACTTCATTGTGCTTAACCCTTTCACCACTGTAGACCGTAATAGACACATCCAGATCATTGCAAGGTAGAGTCTACTAAACTTGCATAGGGGTTAAAGGTGTAGATGTAAACACAGATGTGAGGACATTGAAAAATCTGTTACAACATTACATCATTACAACATGATCAGGCCAAACACAAAATATTTGCTGTTTCCGGTAACCCTACCTGCCCTAATTTTTTGCGCCTAACCTTAACTTTTGAAGGCAATTTGCAAAGAAGTACTGTTAAAGGCGAGATCACTCTGCTACACAAACCATATGAAATTATCTGTTTAAATAAAATGTGTTACCTACTTACCAACCCTTAATTATTCCAAGATGTTACAGGAAACATATATACTTTTTGTCTGGCCTGTTGAATTTCAACATTTATTATATGAAAATTAGATTGAACAAGTACATGTATCACCCTGATTTTCAATAAGGATAACAGTTAAACATATTTGGGATGTACTTTTTGGCACAAATTTACTGGAATATTTAATTAATTTGTTTCCTGTGAAATTTCAGAAAATATCAATATGATTTTTTTTTACATCTTCACCTGTACATGTACATGTGCATCCTCGATATCCAGGGGTTACACTCACATGCGCTCTCTGCACCCCTGGAATATGTCATAGCAAAATTGAAGGCACAAAGATAGCTGTTTGATTGGTCTATTGTAAAAAAATCCTGACCAATCTCTAGGCTGATACCTGTCCTTTGAAGATTATAAAGGAGCGACGCCCGACTTGCATTGAAAGCCTGTCAATTTTTACCGTTCCACGACCGTGAGATTCTTTTGATGTACATCAAAGTATCAAACTAGTCTTTTTTGTCTCATCAACAAGGTGGTCATACTGAGCCTTCAATTTTCTATGACATATTTGAGGGGTGCAGAGAGCGTATGTGAGTGTAACCCCTAGATAATTTTATATTGACCAATCAGAACATTAGTTTCTATTCACTGCATTCAAAGCAGCAGATTCTCTGTTCAGCTGCACATGAAGTGATTGTGAAATAAGTGGTTGTTTTACACATCTTTCGTCAATGCACTTAGCTATTAAAAATAATTTAGGCAATTTGTATCATCGATGTAGAATCATATTGAGTACCTACCCATTCAAAATGGCACTCAGATTTGTTGTCAAGCGTGACGTCATAAGAACCTGGCATCAAATTTAAATACTAAGGTACTAGCTAGTTCCTGCTCTTTCTTGATGCAGCAATATTTGCGTCATTTCACATTTTAAAAATGTAATAAATAGAAAATTTTGTGGTTTCCCATTGAATACCATATATATATTTCCCGAGTATGACAGAAAGTACCAAAATTTTCACTCATGCTACGCAATCTTGAAAAATATCAGTATTTTGCCATACTTGTAAAATATATATTTCACTCTCTTGAAAACATTTTGGTGTTCTGCCATTCTCGTGAAATATATATATATATATGGTATTATATGGGACTGAAGTTTCATAATGAACTATTCCAACCTTTGAAATGGAGGAGTTCATATATACCTTTAGGGGTGAATGAGTTAATTATCCTCCATTTATCCTTTTTAGTGACAAGCAGAAATGTATCAAGGATAAAATGTGTTGTTCCCTTTTACAGGTGAAATGGCATTATTCTGGTGTAGGCAACACCTCTTGATTGTATTATTGATCTTGAAATTGATATTGCCCAGAATAGTGTATCTCATAATAATGACTTTTATTATGAGGTAAATACAATGTTTTATCAACCCCTGAAGGACAATATTCACCTGAGCCTTTGGACTCGGTCAATATTCTCCTAAGGTACATGTAGATAAGTAATTGTGTTCTCATAAAAAGTCAATAACTGTATAAATCAACCTAAATATCATTTGTTGTATGTGAAATTATTGATCAGTATGATATTATTTGAGTATGCTGTAATTTTCGTGTATTCTGAAAAAGGACTGATTGAGGAACTGAGATTTTTTTACATCAGATGTCTTCATTAATTGAACGTTTTTATTCTCAGTATTTCTATAAGACAATGATCACTAGTGTTGTTGTATCAGAGATCCAAATTTTCTGCTGGTATAAATGATATTATATAAATATCACATTCATGAGAGGGCGATATTGCCCCAGACAATGCTTTCCGAGGGGTGAAAATATGCAATATCGCCCTCTCATGAATGTGATATTTATTTTATTATACTGAGTATCATGTTTAGGTGTTTCAACACTTCACCATTTTTAAAGGTCGACAAACGTTTCAGAAAAGTTTTCACTGGGATGAACCAGGGGCGCATACATTCGGCGCATGTAACAATTTTTGGAATAACACCCTGGCACTGGGACGAACCGTGCACGCATACGTTTGGCGCATGTGAATTGTTTTGGAATAACACCCTGGCACTGGGACGAACCGTGCACACATACGTTTGGCGCATGTGATATTTTTTGGAATAACACCCTGGCACTGGAACGAACCGTGCACGCATTCGTTTGGTGCATGTGATATTTTTTGGAATAACACCCTGTCTTCTTTATCTTTGTAAAACGAGCAAGTAACATTGAAAATGTTCACATCTTTCTCAACCAATCAGATTATGAGATTTTAACAGAAGGTATAATAATATTTATTGCTGTTTCTGTGTATCTGTGTTATCTATATACTATCAGTATATATGTTACTGACATGATATGATATTTGGCTTGAGAGGCTGAATACAGATGCAAGACTTACACACCCCTGAAGACACATTTGAACTCCTCCAATTCAAAGGTTGGAATAGTTCATTACGAAATTCCAGGGGTAAATGAGTTTATCTCTTATGAATCAGTAAAACACTTTTTCATCATAAATTTAGGCCAAATAAAAAACGTTATTTGATTCCAGTTATACCATACCTACTCTAATTTTGCGTGCATACCCTGGATTTATTTTTGGCAATTTTAAAGGAAGCACTGTTAAGTCAACATTATTTTCCTATATAAAACTTACAAAAGATATTGGAAAGTAAAATGTATTTTCTAAGTACCGGGAAACAAAAAATGTTTTTGACCTAAATTATATTGGCACTAACAATTACCTTTGTTGTTTAGTGTCGTATATCGCTATAACCTCATTCACCCCTGAAATTTCAAAATGAACTATTCCAACCTTTGAATTGGAAGAGTTCAAATGTGTCTATAGAGGTGAATAAGTTAAGACCTACAGGCATCCTCAACGTTCCAGTGGTAGTATTCCCTTAAGTTTTCTGCACCTCTGTAATATTACATGACAACATAAATGAACTATTCCAACCTTTGAATTGGAAGAGTTCAAATGTGTCTATAGGGGTGAATAAGTTAAGACCTACAGGCATCCTCAACGTTCCAGTGGTAGTACTCCCTTAAGTTATCTGCACCTCTATAATATTACATGACAACATAAAAGGCTTTGTATCATTATTCCATGTACGTCAAAAGAATCCATTGTAACGGTAAAAATGACTGGCTTTGCAGTTGGCTGTAGCCCCCCTGTAAGGTACCAACTTAACCTAGCTACTGATCTTCTTTATCCCTTTATCAATTAAATAGCTATCTGTGTGCTTCAATTTTGTTATGACAAGAGCATATAGCCCTTATAATTTCAAGGATGGTCTTCAGGAGAGGGCATTATTATTTTATGTCTCATGTCGAATGAAGGGAGACATATATTGTATTAGTACTGGTTATTCTGGTTCGAATATTTCTTTGCTGATAAAATTGTTGTGTTCAGATTTCTGTGATAGAACTAGTCATTCCAGATGTGTTTCTTCTTGATTTCGTAAAACGTCACATTTGAAGTGTACATGTATGAAGCAACCTGGTTGCTTCTATAGTACCCAGCCTATCAAAAAAAGTAATTCAAAGACCTGGTATCGGGCTGCAGTTTATGACTTCATGTCTCTACATCTGCAGCCAAAACATAGAATGCACCATTTATTTTGTACAATATCAATCATTATATATATCAATGATTACGGTAAAACTTGGGTCTTTAGCTGATTTGACCATTAACTTATGAGAGTTACACCATCCTCTGACAATATTCATATTTGATCAATATTTGATATGGAAAACCACATGTATCACTTAGAAATCCATAATTAATATCAGTTACTATGAATCATGGTCTAGGAATGGAAGACAATGTCGCAGAGCATTGCAACATGACACCATTATTCAAAGGGTGACGAATGAAATCACATCCAAAGCGTTACTTACTGGCGGTTAAGTCTAGCAGGTTTATCCATTGAGTTATAAGTGAGAAAGCTATTGTGATTGTGGGAGAAATTGTATTAATTGATTTGACGAGAATGAACTTTATCGATAATTTTGAGATATATCGAGTGTAAACTTTCAGACATATTTCCAAAGAATTCATGTATGTTAATGACTCTTTCATATGATTTGAAAGAAATACCCAACCCGAGAGTGCTGAAGTAGGGGCAAAAATCAAGGTTTGATGTGGTTTTTAACTCAAATTATTCTACCAAGGCATGAACATCTCTGTCCTACATTATTTACATATAATAGAAGTATTTTCTTTCATTGTTAATAAATATATTTGTTTGCGATGTGTAGGTCTACCATTTTGTGGCAAAATGAAACCTTCTGTAACATTTCTGTAAATTGATTTTAAAATTATCTAGACCATTGAAAAGAAGGCAAAACAGTTAAGATTATGCTGAAAGTATAAACTTCTGATAACAAATAACATGACTATTAATGAAGGTAAATTACTTGGATTGGAGAATAAAATTCAGTGAAAAAAGATTGAAAGGACGTCAAACTATTTGCATTGTGGCGTCATGCCTATGCAAGATTAAAAGAATATCTCACCCCCCTTGATGGTGAGATTGGGGAATCTCAACCCACGGGGGAATATTCTTAAGGTGCCAAACACCAGGCTTTGCCGAGTGTTTGGCAACTTAAGAATCTTTCCCCGAGGGTTGAGATTCCCCTATCTCACCCTCAAGCAGGTGAATGATTCTTTTTCTCTTACTCTGTTCAGCCATTGTGTATCATTTGCATAATGTTACGTTAATGCTACAGACTAATTCAGGTTTGACGTGACATTGATTGGTGACATTGACGTCATTGTAATGTTGACGTGACGTCATACCATTGT